TTCAATCAAAACTCATCCACAGCGGTAGCTTGCCCTCGCCCTGAACCTGTCGCACATGCTCCCATACGCTTCACGGAAATGCGCTCACGTGCAGTGCGCACCACCGAGCATGCGCCAGCGCGAAAATTCTCAGAAACCAATTTCTCTGAAAACTGTTCCCAAGTTTAGCCTGACTTCATGAATAGTCATATGACATCTGCTTGGCATGAAAACCCTGGGCATCCGCGCTGTAGGCATAGCGCCAAAACAACCCCTTGGCTTTGGTGGGGATACAAGCCGTTTCTGCGTTAAGCCGTAGTCGCATTAGTGTGACAGAAGTACCCTCGGGAGCCAATTTCTTGTCGAATCTTTCTCCAGTGGAGAAACTTCGACGAAAATAGGACCCACATTTCAGAAAATGGGGCTTTAAAGGGTAAACAATATCAAATACGGACGTAAAGAGCAAATGTAACATACAACTGACATTACCTTATCGAGTACTCCACACAACGCTTCAATAGAAGACTTCCCAAGCTGTTTCCTCACTTCAGGGATACGAGCAAGAAGGATGGCAGCAGCTTCCCAATTTATACCACCATTGTCCCCGGACAACGTCTCGTCGACTAGGTACTGGATGGACGAGTCGTCTGTCAAACAAATTTTCAGAGGGCTACAGTAAGTAAGCACCGAAAGATTTAGAGGTCCAGGAGAAACCTAGCTCACCAGAGAAAGCTCGATCAGGTAACGAATGGGACTTTGGAGGAGATAAAAATAAAGAATAGTGTGAATCGATTGCAGGTCCAGACAAAGAATTTGCAATCCAAGCTTTGTTTAGCATATCAAAACGGTGAAGAAGCATAGCAGCATTCCTGAACTGTCGGGCTCGTCGGAACAATGTCACGAAAAAATCAGATCAAAAAAACACACCCCGAATTAGGAAATGTGAAGCGATCAGTCTCATTAGGATCATAATAGCCGTGAATAGCCGCAGCCGCTTTGCTCTGAGCCAGCGCTTCGCAGGCTGATTGCACTAGTGTGGGCATCGAGAGCAAAGTAGCTCTCCATCCGGATGGCATAACTGAGCTTGCCTTAATACTAATCACTCTATACTGAAAAAATACCAGTTTCTGAGTAGATTCGTCATGTTAGAACACATTAGAGGTAGGAAGTGGCTTCAAGACAGTCCCCGGATGAGGCAATTCATGGGCGTTCCTCCTGCAAGTAGTCTGACCCTCAGCCTCTAAGACTGTGGCCTTTTTCGCGACTTCACCCTGATAACGATGATGTTAAAGCCTCCTAGAATGGCGAATCTGACGCCTCCCTAGTTGCCCTGCTCACAAAAACTCAGAGACCATTTTCTATCACGAGTTCAGTTTACAATGTGTTCTTATAGTATTCGCATTGGATGACGGAAGAAACAATCACTGAGCCAGAGGCGGCACGATATTACTTCGCTGGGCGGAAAAACGAAATATCCCGTAGACTCGTTACACTGCGTGAGCTGGCGAGGGTTCTGCACGTGTTTTCCATGATTTTGTTTTTTTTTCATGCCCAGTGAGTCACTATTATAACTACAGGTTCATTATGGAAAGTCACCACCCCAAATACAACCGCGGGTTTGCCTTCAAGTAGAAAAGTAGCGACGATCTTTGCAGGGTAAAATCACCAACCGTTCGTACAACATCAGTCACGAAAAGCGTCGCCTTTAGCGCGCTGCTTGAATCAGGTTGGGCCACAATTAGACGAGCTAGAGACTGAAAGAAATGCAATTCGTAAACAATACACTACCTCGAGGAATAGGCACATATTGCTAGCCTTACCTGAAGCAGACCTGCATTGAGAAGGATAAATCCGGCGAGAGAACGAAACGAATGCAGAAGGTCTACGTGACGAACGAGCTCCTAAACGAAAAAAGGTAGAAGGATCGATGACAATGGTTCTAAGAGTGACAAGCCAAGTGGATTGAAAATGTTGAAAAGAGTACGAAAGCGTTTTCAAAAATTACTTCGTCTTTAGCAATACACATCTCGCTCTGCGCAAGCACAAAGTCGTCCTTGAGGGAGTTACTGAATTCATCCGGAACCGTGATTGTGGCTGAAAGAAGGTAAAAGAGTTGATCTGAAGCAAAACCTAGAATCTTGAGAAATAGGGGCACTAATAAGGTAGATGGGAGCAACAAGATCGGATCATACATCCCCCCCTTGCCGCCTGAGCCCGTCTGGGCTGGGTTTACTAGACAAAGGGAAGCGCTGGGCCGCAAAAGAGCGGCCTAAGCTCCTCCTTTCCTATTCAACTGTATCACAGTCGAAACATAATCTAGGCAGACTAAGGTAAACGTTGAGAAAATAGGTGGTATGCAGTACCCCAAATTGCAGGTAAAATTGAGTGCGCGGAAGCAGCGACAACACACCACACTACTTAGCCTTCGCCCGGGCAGCCCCTGACCAGGTGGTGTGCATTCACGGAGAAGACACATTTACCTTCACGCGCAATTAGTGGGAGTACTGTATCCCGCCTGTTTTCCTGAACTTATAACCTTGCACTTCAGCAGTAACTTCGCAAAAGCCTCAACTTACAGTAGTATTCCATAGCATGATTCCAATTCTCGAATTTCATGCCAGCATACGGTAAATCCAGAAATTCACAGCAAATATCAACTACCATTTCACGAATACGAACTAGATTACAATCGTCCACAGTACCTAATCCGAGATATTCTAGTAGCCTGAATATCAAGGAAATTAATATCAAAATTAGCGTTTGGTTGCAAGTTCGTGAAATAACCTGAAGGGTGACGACGATAGAACTTTGGAATTTGCACCGATTGCGGCACATGAGAATAGTCCCGACCATGTTCGAAGAATACACAAAATGAATGTGAAAAGTTGTGCATTACGCTGTCGACTATCCGTTCTCCCCTGAAAATACGGTGCTGGAAACAAGATGAGCATATATGGCTCATTTTTGATGAATAACGGGAATTCTTGGAAGATAGTGAATGATTTCTCAGCCAGACGTCCTGAGTTGGAAGTAAGTAGTAAGTAAAATTAAGTAAAGTCGTAGTAAGTGAAATTCTGCAAACTACAATCCATCCCCCTCTTCCTTTGGCCCGACTCCACTTCCCCATCCTACCTAAGATCTTACTAAATTCTTCCAACGTCCTACCACTTACTCCTATATATACCTACTCCTTTCTTCGAGAACTGCGCTCTATTGCCTAGAAACTGCGAACGAGCGAGGGAAGGGGGTGAGAAGTGCGATGAATCGCCTGTTTAATGGGGAAAACCGACATAAGTCAACAACCGAAAACATCTTCCGCAAAGGAAACACGACCCCTCTCCACAATGAACCTAATACGGACCCCTCGAAGGGGAGACAGCGTGCGACGTGCCCTGTTCTCAGCTGCTCGTCAGTGCTCAGAATCTTCCGTGATTTATAGCAGTGAAAGTCGGGGTGAAACTGAAGGGTCGTTTGATGAATAAACGGAGATTCATAACCATCGTGTGCTACTCGTTGCCCCTCTACCAAATCAGAAGGAGATGAGCACATCTGAGGAAGGCACACTGGTTATGAACCTCTGCCTATCCGTGTATTATGGAATGCGCCTTTTACATCCAGACCGATCGTACCCCTCAGTAGGTGTCTTATTTGAGTTCATTGGGAAGGGACCCTTACTTGGATTGCATATGATTAGAGAAATCTTTCTTCATTCAGGTCTTAGGCCAAAAATCAAAAAAAGGGGAAAAGGCAGCTCTCATGTTTTGAGAGAAAGAGGAACGAGGTGATTCAAAAAGTCTAAAGAACAAAGGAAAGTGGGATAGATCTTGCCTATGAATTTTTGGAGGACACAAAAGAAGGGCGCCGCGACTACCTTTAATCAATTTTTGAGAACAGTTAAACATAACTGCAAACTCACTGTTCCGTGGAACACATGTTCTTCTGAAAGAAACCGAATTCGATCAAAGGCGCGAAAATTTGCTGAAACAGACTCAGTAGAACTACTTCAAGCAGAACCAGGAGATCAAGTTCATGCAAAATCTTGAAAAGATAAGACCACGAGAGGATAAACATACCTCCAAAACAAGGTGCAACTTTCCCTTTTGCACGCAATTTCGGTTGATCAAGCCATGCAACCAGAATTCTAGCAACCACAGCAGCAATCCGTCGACCGATGGCACTGTCTCCGGTTAATATGCGAACCTAAAAGCCACTATTTCGCTTCGCTGTACCCCCTTTCGATATCTGTCAGACATACCATCCAATCCGTTCCAGCCATGTTCAGTATAAGCTCAGGTTCCAAGACACAAAACTCCAAGAATACTTCAAAGCAGGCTACGGACAGTCTGAAAGAACAATCTAGCGCTGCATTCGAACATATCAGTGGAACACTAAGAATTAAAACTTTGACTTCTTATCTAGTAGTAAAATAGTAATTCACTCAACATCATGGAGGATGTAAAGAATTTTCACGCGAAGTTCTGTTCACTCACCTGTCTGCATTAATCTCCCCTCCTCCGGTCTTTTCGTATGGATTCGAAGGATCTCGGCCCTTACGTGAACATACAGCACGTAATGCCAAAGCAATCACAGGTTGCATCACAGATTTAGGAAAAGCATACTTCCTGAAAATACCATTAAACGATTCATTTAATGACTAATGGATGAGAGCAGATCGACCTAAACTACACCGAGCATAGGTGCCTCGAATAAGTAAATGTCCGGTGAACAGTCAGTGAAGTCGGCGGATTCTCAATTACTATCGGTTGTGAAATCTACGCTGCACAAACCAGTTAGTATTTCTTAGCAAGTCGACTCGA